AAGCAGAGAAATGATGTTGACAAGCCATTATTAAAGAAGTGTTGAAGAAGCATAACAAAGAAATGTCTTCTCTCACATTGCAAATAAGTTTTTTTCTTTCAAATTACTACTTTGAAGAACGTGAAGAGCGTTTTTGTACTAGTAGAAAAACTTGCTATAGTCTTGCATACACGTGCATAGTAGCTACTTTTTATTAATCTAAAAACTGCTTATGTTGGTAATGATCAAAAATAGCTTTGAAGATGGGGCTCATAAGTAGGAAAAAGTGCAATCCTAAGAAGAATTGGTACATTTGCAAACAGTTGAGAAAAAGCAAAATAGGAAAGCGATAACGAAAGCATGGGAGAAATTTTTTTTCATGAAATTTTTGAAGTTTAGGACCAGTGCTAGATTAAATCGTTCCTCAAAATACACTTGATTATCCTAAAAATTGTTTAGAATTATTATTAATGAGAGAATTAGAATACTACGGCAGACCCTACCTGATGGGAGAATGCAAGGATAAAAAACTGATGAAGAAGTAAAAACAAAAAGCAAGATGTATGAACAGAAGAAGCACTGTCTTCAAAAACGCTTGCGATTATCAAATAAAGAAAAAAATTCGTAATTTATTATTAGGGAAGTTAGTTTTTGTCGCTACTATAATCCTAACTGTTGTTCCAAGTTAGAAAAATTGAAGTCAGACATAAATTTTCCAGTAATGTTAGGTTATATCAAAACAAGGCATTTAAGATTTGTCGACAAAATTTTCTAAGCAAATTTTCAAGAAATGAAGCGAAAAATAAATCAACCCATTACCACAAATTTGATTGAATAGAAAACATATGATTATTGTACAAATCTGCCATTTAGAGTTAATTTTTATGCAGAATTTTTTTTCGCTAAAAAACCAATTTTGAAGGAGAGAGAGTCGTCTCACGAAGACTTCAGTAATTCTCAATATTTGCGATAATTGAGGAGAAAAACATTGGCAGAATTTTCTGTCTTTTTTTGAATCTTTTTTTTGTTCAAAATTGTACACAAACGAAGGTGCGAGAATTTGAACCCAAGGTAGTCATGAGTTTTTTCCGCTTGGCGTCTGTCCAGCAAAAAAAGAACAAAAAAAGTTCCAAGGATGTCTAGCAGATTGTTAGTATATAGATGGAGCAAAATAAGCTATATTCACATTTTTTTCAATCAATAAATTTCTAAATACAGACTTAACATAAAGCACTACTTCCCTTCCTCCTTCACCCCCTCCCCCCTCCCTCTTCGTCCACCACTCGCCGGAATACATCCTGCGCAAGGCGGGGCTATTACTTTTCCCACGTGAGGGCGGAGTCCTTTGAGGTCAACACTATAAAAGTGCGGACACTGGCTTCAGATTCGTCATCGCCACCCGACTAAGGATGATCGAAGATAAGATGATCGTCGGTGCTGCTTCTGCCTGTTCACTGCTTGCCATTGGCGCATGTCTTGCCGTTTTGCCATCACTCTACTATGAGATCAACGAAGTTCATGACCAGGTGGGTTGTTTTTTTTTCTCTCGGCTATTCTGAAGGGGGGTATTGGCTATGGGGCCTACATATGATTCGCTTGAATATGTTTCAAATTTATGCAAGGGTCATTCTAGAGAAGGGTGCAAAAATAAACCTTCTAATAGCCTTTCCTCCGACTCGACTGATTAATTACAAAAAAAAAATGGATTTTTAATAGGGTGTGAGAATACACATTGCCTTCCTATTACGTAGTGTTACTGTATGC